TAACAAAATAAATTACTTTCTAGCTAGTAATGTCTATTAAAGTTCTAATATCGCAAGAGCATTCACAATTATATACTTGTAAATTGTTCCAAAGATGAAACATTTCAATAACCCATGAAGGCCTATTACAAAGTTCCTCACTACCTATTCTTACAATGGAAGACACCCTTTGGAACACATCAAGTTCTACTCTCTCTTTTTTATTGGCAGTGAGGACTCCTATTTTTAATCTTTGCATTGAACGAATTATGTCGGAATTAGAATGTTGGCGTTTGGATGTCATTTAAAACATTTACCCATGCATGTGGGGAAATATGCTCGAGATAGAGTCGAGATAAATCAATGCGCTCAAATTACGCCTCGTTTTTTCCAGCTAAAGGCAACTCTTTACAACTCAAATTTCATAGTTAGTTAATTAATTAATTGTGTTCTTTGTTTTCTTGCTTTTGAGCTTCACTTTTCATACCATATTCCTTTCATTTGATTTATACCATCGGTCTAAGAGAAGCTTTCTTGTTTCCTACTTAAAAATATATATATTGAATTTGTTTATCTACGATATTCTACATTTTTAATTAGTTGAATTAAGAATAAACTACTTACACAAAATCCATGACTTTGTGAATAATTCTCTATAAAAAGTTTATTTGAGTAAATCTTTAGTAGAAGTATAAATTATAATTTTAAATGAAATAAGTAGAAAACAAAGGAAAAAAAAAAACATAAATAATTCATTGACAACACTTGATAACAAATCCTAATAACATCATTAGATCCTAATATATAACATGATGAGACAATGATACTGACTATTTTTACCTGATTTAAATGCATAAACTTTAATATACATCCATTCATTTGATGTGATCATATAATTTTGAGAATTTACTATTACTTACAAAGGTGGTGAATAATCAATCATTTTCACAACAAAAGTTATTCTTTACTTTTAGTAAATTTATTTAATTTTTAATATAATATAAATGTAATAATTAATTAATAAAATTATATATTTTTCAAATAATTATTATCTAAATAATCATATTTAATGTGGTGAATAATCAATCATTTTCACAACAAAAGT